AACGGTTTACAAATTTTAATTTATAAATAAATAATAGTAAGGATAAAAATAATTATAGTGAAAAATAGTAATTGAAAAACCTTAACTTAAAGTTATAAGAATTAATATAAAAAATTATAAAAGTAGAACAAGTATTGTCAGAATATTAACGTAAATGTATGAGATTAAATATAACAAATCAAATAAGTCAAATAAATATAATTTTTTAAAAAATTAAACATTTAAATTTATATTCTCAAGTTTAAAATATTTAATGGTTTCTAAATTTTAATTTATAAAAGAATAATAAAAATAAAAATAATTATAATAAAAATTATTGATTGAAAATTCTTTTTTTTTTATAAATACGTAATTTTTATTTCCAAATGAATGCCAGGGCTATAAGGACCTTGGTCTTTTTAAGTATAATGAAAAGATAATTGCAAAGGAAATAAATAAAAGCTACCTAACCAGTATTTATTATAATATTTATTTAAAAATTTCTCAATAGTTAATATATTTTACTCGAAAATATAAATGTAAATAATTAATTCTCATAAACATTCTATTATTCTATTTGTCATTTTTTTTCTTTAATTAATATTTTTTATTTTTGTTCATTAAGGGTTATTTAAGGGTTTTTTTCTTAACTTGTTTGATAGGTAAATAAAACGCAGCGGTCTTTTTTCTTTTTTTTTTATCAATGGCTGAAATTAAAGTCTCCAAATCTAATGGTTGTTTTTGTGACCTCGCATTAAGGTTAGCAGATAGAATTTGCCATTGCTCTCCTCTCTCCAAATTTTAATGTATAGAACGCGTTTTGTCTTTTAAGGCTTTTAATGCCGCTCTGTTCACATTTCTATAATAATAAAGAAAATTAAAAATTGGAGGGTCGTGGCCACCATCACCGGTCACCTTGTCTTTGGCTGTAATTTGTTTTTGTCAACCCATTATTTTATTTTTCATTTTAATCAATGCATTAAATTAATTAGATATCATTTGTAGAAAAATAATAAAAACCTATTTAACAGGTAAACAACACAACTAATCTATAAATTTATTCATTTTGATGTTAAGAACATAAACAATTTTTAAACTTATCTATTTTATTTTAAATATTATTTAATTTTTATTTTTGTTCAATTTTTAACTTCAAAATATAAGAATATTATTATTTTAATATTGACATTATATCTAACTAACTTAATTCAATTAAAATTATTATTATTATCTATTACATCAAATCTCACACATTTACGTCAATATTTTGAAAATGTTTTTTCAATCTTTATAATTTTTTATATTAATTCTTACAAGTTTGCATTAAGATTTTCTAATGCTATTTTTCACTATAATTGTTTTTATCTTTTACTATTATTTATTTATAAATTAAAATTTGTAAACCATTAAATACTTAATCCAAACTTGAGAATATAAATTCAAATGTTTAATTTAAAAAAAATTATGTTTATTTGACTTAATTAATTTGTTACACTAAATCTCATATATTAACGTTAATATTATGACAATGCTTGTTCCACTTTTATAATTTTTTACCTTAATTCTTATAGTTTTGCGTCAAAGTTTTTCAACTATTATTTTTCACTATAATTATTTTTGTTCTTATTATTATTCATTTATAAATTAAAAGTTGCAAAATTGTATGATACTTTAAACTCGAGAATATAAATTTAAATGTTTAATTTTTAAAAAAATTATATTTATTTCAAATAATTGACTTGTTATGTTAAATCTTCCAACATTTATTTCAATATTTTGACAATGCATGTTCCACCATTATTATTTTCTAAGTTAATTCTTATAGTTTTACATCAAGATCTTTTAACTAATAATTTTCACCATAATTATTTTTATTCTCACTATTATTCATTTATATATTAAAATTCATAAATCGTATAATGCTTTAAACTTGAGAATATAAAATTAAATGTTAAATTTTCAAACAATTATGTTTATTTGGTATAATTGACTTATTACGTTAAATCTCACACATCTACATTAATATTTTGACAATGCTTATTCTACCTTTATAATTTTTTATATTAATTCTTACAGGTTTATGTTAATATTTTTTAATTACTAAGTGTCACCATCATTATTTTTGTCCTTATTTTATAAATTAAAATTTGTAAACCATTAAATGCTTTAAACTCGAAAGTATAAATTTTAATGTTTAATTTTTCAAAAAGTTATGTTTAGTTGACGTAATTGATTTATTATATTAAATCTCACATATTTATATCAATATTTTCACAATTTTGTTCCACTTTTATAATTTTTTTATTAATTCTTACAGGTTTACGTTAAAGTTTTTCAACTACTAATTTTCATGATAATTATTCTTAACCTTACTATTATTCTTTTATAAATTAAAATTTATAAACCGTTATATATTTTAAACTCAAGAATATAAATTTAAATGCTTAACTTTTTAAAAAATTATGTTTATTTGACATAATTCATTTGTTACGTTAAATCTTACATATTTATGTCAATATTTTTATAGTGTTTATTCAACTTTTATACTTTTTTACATTAATTCTTACAGTTTTGTGTTAAGATTTTTCAATTAATATTTTTCAATATAATTATTTTTATTTTTTATCCTTGCTATTATTCTTTTATAAATTAAAATTTGTAAACTATTAAATACTTTAAACTTGAGAATATAAATTTAAATGTTTAAGTTTTCAAAAATTATGTTTAGTTGACTTAATTGACTTGTTACTTTAAATCTCACACGTTTACATTAATATTCTCATAATACTTGTTCCATCTTCTTAATTTTTAACATTTACTCTTATAGTTTTATGTTAATGTTTTTCAATTGCTATTTTTCACTATAATTATTTTTAGGATAAAATACCTAGACTCTTTAAGTTTTAACCAGTGTTTGATGCGGATTCATTAGTTTTCAAAGTAGACAATGATACCCAAAAGTGCAAATATTGTTAATAAAAAACATGAAAGTACTAAAATACCAATTCTTCTTTCTTTTTTTTCTCTCAAACAATGTGGTCGGCCAGTGCGCTCCCATTCGCATGCCGGCCACCCCATGGCAGGTGCTCCCCTCCCTTTTCCCAAAAGACTTTTTTAAAAAGAAAAAAATAATTTATATAATAGTCACTTTTAAAATTAATAAAGGGTAAAATTACCCTTTTGAATATTGTCTCGCTATCAAACTAATGAAAACACTAACAGTTGGAGCTATATGTCCAGTGGAACATATGTTTTTGGGTGGAGTATCTATTTCGAAAACTTAAAAATTAGCATGGAATTTTGATTAAAATTTAGAGGGTCTAGGTATTTTACCTTTATTTTTATCCTTATTATCGTTCATTTATAAGTTAAAATTTGTAAACCGTTAAATTCTTTAAACTCAAAAATATAACTTTTAATATTTAATTTTTCTAAAAAATTATATTTCTTTGACATAAATAGATTAAATTTCATATATTTATGTCAATATTTTTTTTATAAATAAGCAATTTTAAAAATTTTGATTTATAAATGAATAATAATAAAGATAAAAATAATTATAGTAAAAAATAGCAAGTGAAATACCTTGACATAAAGCTGTAAAAATTAATATAAGAAATTAATAAGGTGAAACAAGAAATGCCAAAATATTAACGTAAACGTATGAGATTTAATGTAATAAGTCAATTATATCAAATAAATATAAATTTTTAAAAAATTAAACATTTAAATTTATATTTTGAGTTTAAATTATTTAATAATTTTTAAATTTTAATTTATAAAAGAATTATAATAAGGATAAAAATAATTATAGTGAGAATTTGTGACTGAAAAATATTGACGTATAGATGTAGGATCAACGTAAAAATTATAAATGTGGAACAAGTATTGTCAAAATGTGAACATAAATATATGCGATTTAACCTAACAAGTCTATTAAGTCAACTAAACATAATATTTTAAAAAATTAACCATTTAAATTTATATACTTGAGTTTAAAGTATTTTATGGTTTACAAATTTTAATTTATAAATGAATAATAGTAAAGATAAAAAAAATATAGTGAAAAATAATAGTTGAAAAACCTTGACATAAAATTGTAAACATTAATGTAAAAAATTATCAAGGTGGAACAAACATTATCATATTATTAAGGTAAGCATGTGAGATTTAACGTAACAAATCAATTAAGTCAAATAAATATAATTTTTTAAAAAATTAAATATTTAAATTTATATTTTCGAGTTTAAAGTATTTAATGGTTTACAAATTTTAATTTATAAAAGAATAATAATAAGGATGAAAACAATTATAGTGAAAATTAGTAGTTGAAAAGCCTTGATATAAAGTTGTGAGAATTAACGCATAAAGTTATGAAGGTGGAACAAAAATTATCAAAATATTAATGAAAACATGTGAGATTTAGCATAACAAGTCAATTATATCAAATAAACATAATTTTTTAAAAAATTAAATATATAAATTTATATTCTCAAGTTTAAATGAAGTATTTAATGGTTTACAAATTATAATTTATAAATGTATAATAGTAAGGATAAAAATAATTATAGTGAAAAATAATAGTTGAAAAACCTTAGTTTAAAGCTGTAAGAATTAAAGTAAAAAATTATAAAAATGGAATAAGTATTGTCAGAATATTAATATAAATGTATGAGATTGAACATAACAAACTAATTAAGTTAAATAAATATTTATTTTAAAGAAATTAAACATTTAAATGTATATTCTCGGGTTTAACGTATTTAACAGTTTAAGAGTTATTAAGAGTTATTTAATTTTTTTTAAAACTTGTTTGATAGGTAAATAAGATGCAGTCTTTTTTTTCTTTATGTTTTTTATCAATGACTGAAATTAAAGCCTCTAAATCAAGTGGTTCTTTTTTGTAACCTTACATCAAAGTTAGCAGGTAGGATTTGCCATTGTTCTGCCAGCTCCCAATTTTAATATATATAACACGTTTTGGCCTTTGAAGGCTATTAATGCCACTCTGTTCACATTTCTCTGGGACATGTAAAGTTCGGCAGTTGGCTTTGGTTTTGTTGTATAAATGTAGCGTCGCAACATGCATCAAGCAGAGCTTTGGAAAGCCAAGAATTAAAACTCCCTACACTAATTTTGAAGGGACGAACAGGAAAAACACAAAAAAACACAATGGCTCTGACGCTGCACTCAGCTGCATCCTTCCCATCAGCCTTCAAGCAACTTTCTCTGTCTCAAGGCCTCAAATCCCCCAAAGTCTCCATGGTCTCCACCCACTGCTCCCCCACTGCGTGAGTTTTCTTTAGTTTCCTGTTGTTCATTTTGGTCAATGCATTATTTTATCTTTCATGTTTTTACCTTGATAATTCAGGGTTATTGACACTAACCCCGTTAGCTGCTTGTCTTTCATGATTTCCCTGCGCCCGTTCCCCATATATTTTTCGTCTTCCGTAGTGAGACAGGGGTTCAGAGCAACCAAAGTAACGCCTGCATGTCTAACGGATACAAAAAATATAAAAGAACAGCAAAAAGTTTTTGTAATACTGGGTATATTTCTCCTCTAGTGTCAAGTTTTCTGTCTCTAACTAAAGTTCCTCTTGGCTTCTTTTTGTGATGGATTGAGTTCGGTTCAGATCTTTGCATGGTGCTATATACGAAAGGATATAATTCTGATTCATGAATACAGATTTTAGTTGTTTATATGTACCTTCTTAAATTCTACCATTAGTTTTCAAATATATTTGCTTTTCTAGATTTCACTCTGTCTGCTATTGCCTTGATAAGTAGTTGAAAAGAGAGGGTAATTTTAAGACGGTGTGGTTTTAATCATAAGTGTTTCTTTATGGAGGTTGTCATCATCAACATGGATATGAGATGGAAAAGATTGATGCCTCAACAAATTTATTTTGGATAAAATACTCCGATTTTTTAAGTTTTAGTTATAATTTTATACAAATTTATTAGTATTTGAAATGAATAGTCTATTTTAAACTAATAAATAACGTAACAGGTAAATAAGAAATATTTAAAATATTTATTTTTCTTTCTCCATTCTTTTCCTTTCTCTCAAGCTAGTTGTTGGCGCTCTCGTGGCCAGATCTGACACTCCTTTGCGCTCATCAGCGCTGCCAAATCAAGCCACGAGAGCGTCAAATCCAGAATTCCCACGATCGGATTTGGTCGAGGAGTGTCAATTTCAACATTCTCGTGATTAGATAAAGTCCGAAAGTGCCAAATCCAACGTTCTCACGACCAGATCAAGTCGGTGAACATCAGATCGAACATTCCCACGACTAATCCGGTCGACGAACGTCTGATTGTTAACATCCACGGTGGAAAGAATTTAATGAGAGAATGAGACAGAATGCTAGGAGTAGAGACAAGGAAATTGTGAAATGGAAAAAAAATTGCATTTTAAATAATGATAATTTTTAAAATTAATGATTTATCTAAATAATAAAAACTTTAATAAACAAATATATTTTAGTTGTTTATATGTACCTTCTTAAATTCTGCCATTAATTTTCAAATATATTTGCTTTTCTAGATTTCACTCTGTCTGCTATTGCTTTGACAAGTAGTTGAAAAGAGGGTAATTTTATGAGGGTGTGGTTTTAAACATAAATGTTTCTTTTCGGAGGTTGCCATTATCAGCATGGACATGAGATGGACAACATTGATGCCTCAACAAATCCTTTTTATTGTTATGTCACATTTATGAGATTTATCAGGGCATCAAAATTTTGTGTTTGTACTTGTATTTCTCTGACTATCTTATCTATCATTTGAGGAGTGCGTTGATCATCAGACTATAATGGACCCTACAATCTCTAATCCTTCTTACTCAGGAAATCGGAAAAGAGGCCATTCCGGCCTGCCAAAGAGGTAGGGTTTCAAGTGACTCACTCCATGCCACC